GGGCGAGACAGAAGTGAGAAGCGAAGGTGGTTCTTAAAGAGACAGAGGGCAATTTCAAGGCCTTTAGAAGACAAAGTGATGAGAAGATAAGTTTATTTTCTATTTAAACATAAAAACAGCATTTTAATAACAGCTAAAGGTGACATAGATACTTTATTATGGTATAGTATTTAAATGTATGCCTGAGAAACACATAATATTGGCCCTTTAATTACTATGCATTCTTTTAGTTAAACATAGACATGTTTGGTATCTATTAGCCATTAACTTATTTTCGGACAATCTGAAAACCACCTCAAGTGTGCGTAAAAACGCTTTTGAGAAATTTTGCTGTTTCCATACATACATCTTTTCTAATGCAATACTTCAAAATGTGCATAAAAAAACTTTGATGGAAACACAGCTACTCAGACTGGACTCCTCTGGAAGCTGAAGGGGGCGGAGCAGGAAGTGCCTTGTTTGGATTTAAAGATACAGCCTCAAAATGAGTTGATCTGAGACAGACCTTAGAAAACGGATGGAGTTACAATAAGGAGGAATTCAGACCAAAGCATTGAAGTTCCACTTTATATAGACCCCAACTGAATGATTTAAGTGCGATTAAAAAGGATTTCATGTCTCCTTTTAAGAGTGCTTTGTTCTGTTGCTAGATTTCGACTGGGTGGTTCTATCTTGTCATACACTTTACCTTTAAAGTTGGGTCTAATGCGGGCATCGTATCCAGATGTTTTCCCCATGAGCTTGTCCAGGAAGTCTGAAGGTGAAAGCTGTGGTCCGGCCCTGCCGGGGGGCTTTATCTCCTCCTTACAGAAGCTCAGTCTGACATCACCCAGGAAAGAGGCAGAGACATGAAACAGAAACGAGCAAGAAAACAGGTAAAGGAGGATTGTGTGTTTGTGTGAGATTTAGCTGCAGCGGTGGTGGGAAAAAATAATAAGAGTTCAATCTGACAAGAGGCTAACAGTAATCAGCAAGTTTGTGTTAAGCAAAAGTATCCTGTGGGGAAAGGGAAATGAGGGTGAGAAATGACAACTCAATGGCCTCCCTCGAATGTTATCAATGTTTCATCATGTCTGAGTCTTATTGTGGTTGTACTGTAAACTTGTCCCTTTTCTGTGCCTCTCACTGCTGGTGACTTAGCAGGGATACAGCTGACAGATTGATGGCTCAATTGTAATGCTGCAAACATCACACAAGGGACAGCATCGAGTTGATTGGAGCTCTGCAGAGGCTTACGCGACCATCGACAGGAATAACCAGCAGAGAGGAAGAATAACGAGAACATTTTAAAAGAAAGATAAAAACAACATGCTCCTTAAACCAGGAAGCCATGATTTATAACTCAGTGGTTTTCATTTTAGTCCCTGCTGTGGCACAACATTTTGCACCACATGGCTTTAGTACAACTGTAAACAGTTTCAAATTCGTCATGATCTAAAGCTTTGCAGTACAGATGGCAGGTTCAGACCCAAGGAGGCTTTGGTTATGTCTTCATGAGTGTGAGTGGAAGCACTGGTCCATCAGTCTCACAGCCTCTTAGTTGTTTTCCGGGTCAGGGATCAAGATTTTTGTGGAATTTATGTTTGGAAACATTGAAGCTGAGTTATATGACGTGTTTGTAAAAGTGTAAAGCACAATAAGAATAAYAAAATGAATGATTCTCATAGGAGGGGTCTTTACTAAACTACAGTTGTTTAGATTTTTTTCTTTTGCCTTTATCTTTTACACAGATTCAAATAAACCAACAAACCTGTACGTAAAGTTTAAAGTTTGTTTAAAATGCATCATTTTAAAACTGAAAGAAAAATTTAGAAACTGAAAAATAAAAACTAAAGATTTGAAATGACAAAAAAATTTGTAAATTTTTCAGTTCCGTGATACAATGGCTTGCCATACAGTATTAATTTGATGATACGATGGTCTGCAATTTTTTTTAATAATATGATAGAAAGGCCTGCCATCCATTGATAATATTAAGATTAAACAACCTGACATATTTTATTACACATATGTTATAGCCTGCCGTACTGTTAATTATATGATACATTGGTCTGAAATTTTAAAAAAGCAATATGCAGCTAAGATATGCATATTTATTGTTAATTATACGATGCAACAACCAGACATATATTTTATTATGACCAGGGAACCCATATGAACCTGAARGGAAGAAGTGGGTAAAGGATAACTGTTGGATGATAGAATGGCCTGCCATACTTAATTTTTAATTATACTTAATTATATGATATGACAGCATGCCATACTTATTTAATTATACTGTATGATACAAGTACTAGTAGTCTCAAACCTTTTTTGTTTGTTTCTTTGTTTCAAATCTAAACTAATTGTTTAGTTTCTATTTCGTTTTTCAGTTTCAATTTTTTTTCAGTTTAAAAATGTGTTTGATTTTTTTTCAATAAACTATATAGTCCTATTTAGCTTTAGGAGGTCTATTACTTACCTTATCTAGAAACAAGTTTTCTGTTTTTTACAGTTAATGTTGCAAACTGGTTAAGTTCACAATCCATATAATGTTCCTGTTTCACTTTTGTTGGAAAAACTTTTAATGGTTTTAATAATTTTTACTTCTCTGTTTGGGAATTAAATGTGTGTTTTTGTTCCACTCAGGACTTAACTCTGGTCATGGCTCATGATTTCACTTTCTTCGTGGTGTGACGGGGCAATTTATCACCTTTGACAGTTAGTTAATACTTTTGTAAATTAAGTTTTCTTCTTACTGCACTAATTTATTTTTCCAATACCTATCACTCTGATTTTGCCAATACTTGTTACCCTGTAATGTTTTCTTAGTTTCACAGTTGGTTTAAAAAAATAATTCCAACACTATTTTCTTTTTCCAGCCCTTTATTTGAAATAATTAATGCGCTTATCTTAGCTGCATTTTTTAAAAGTGTTTTTATGTTTTTATATGAATGTGTTGCTTGCTTGGTTTCTTTGAGTGTCAGAAAGGCACCTCTAAAATAACATGTATATTATAATTGATTTATTATCTACAGTAAGTGCTAAAACATAGAAACAGAATGTAGTTATTATRGCATGAAAGACAACACTCTGGAGCTAAATTAAAGTTTGATGTAAAATAAAAGTCCAACCTCTTGCTAATACAAACACTCGTTCTTTATTTCTTCGTTTCTCATACCCATTAGTCAGATAAAAGTGACATTAAAATAGAATAGCAATCTTTTATTAAAAGATTTTTTTTTTGCTTTTCTTCAAATGTGAAGATTTAGTAGGATATCTGTTAATGAAAAAAAAACATCCTAAACATTGAAGTAAAACATTCCTGAAGGAACTTTTACTACTGTTGGAAGAAACAGGTGATTGAGAAAGCAATAAAAATGACCAGCCAACCAGACCACAAATTCTCAGGGGGATTCTCTATAATGCCTTCAGACTGACATTATAATTTGACCATAATGAGAACTAACTAATTCCAAGTCCTTTATTCCTGCTGCCTTTAGGCACCTCAACACATGCAGACGGTACTCTTCATATGGACTAAGAAGACTATAGGCACAAACAGTTTTTCATGAATAAAGTGAACCTGAACAGTAAGTTTGTAATGCAATTCAGAGTTTAATGATAATATAAATGAGCTCCCTCTGGTGAGTTCAATAGCTGAACTCCTCACCCTCAGCTGCGGTACGACTCGAGGATGTGCGCCTTCTCTCACGGACTACTTCACCTTAAAAACCTTTTTGCATTTCTAATGGAACTCCTTTCCACTGAGTCTTTTGTAGGAGCAGAATCCTATTCATATATCTGGAAGAGTTTGAAGAAAGGACCAGCACAGACCTTTTTCAGTCATTGCAAAAAACTTTTTTTCCCCTCTCGTTCTATTCATCGTTGAATCTTGGAGTAGAAAATCTTTTGTATTGTGCTGAAAATGTTTTCCGCGACATTTCACTGCTGAATATTACTTAACTCAGTGTAAAGAAGTATTCAAATAAAAAAATCATTGTACAATAGACATACAACATGACAGTAAAGTCTTAAATCTGTTTATTTAGCAATACCTCATTTATATGAACATATTTTATTCATCTGAAAGTCCTTGACAGCACTAAAGTCACAACGTTCTGTGCTTTAAATCTGACAGTCACTATTGAAAACACTTCTAATGCTTTTAAAATGACAAAKAAATCTGTAGTAGGCTCCTTAGAAAATGTTGCAGCTCAATTATACATTTATTTGTCTGAATGATTTACTCATAAAGATATTCTTTGCTGACATTGAATTAGCCTGACCTTTTGCTCCACCTGTGATCCTGTTGTTTTAGCTCTGTGCCAGACTGGCGGCTAGAGTTAAACATGTGTTTATACCATTTATTATGGCCCAACACCATGAATGGTGGGTGATAATGTAAATGTCCGTGTGTTTGTGTGTCTGTCTGTTAGCAAAATAGTAGTTCGTAGTCCGCATTTGTCGGCCGCTTWAGTCACTGCCCAGTGCCGTCCCAATTCATGGACTCCTTCTAATCCGGCCAACAGAAGCAGCTGACAAAACCCCAAAAATGAAGGCTGCATCTGAGTATCCTTCCTGGCCGAGGATATAATTTATTTAAATGTAACATTTTTGAATGTGRMGTTATTCCTCCAGTGAAAAGATATGTAAATACTATGCATGTGCCAACGTTCTCCAAAGACTAGACAGTCTCATTTCACAGCCATTTTAGGCAACCCTACCAAAACTTTGAAGGGTGTGGCCTTCGTGGGTTGTGGTCTAGGTAGGCTGCAGCCCCTGAATTGGGACACATTTAACCTGATTCAAAATGGCTGCCACGGCTAACCAAACTTGGCAAACACAAAAATGGCTATAAATAATATTTTAACAGATACTGCGCTCAAACTTAGTGTGGTGGTAGTGGAGCAGTATCCAAATCATGTACTGTGATTGTTAACAGAACACACGAGTTAAGTGTAAAATTTTCACTTCACAACCCTCTGAACTGTAATCAAATTTTGAGCTGCCTCAATATTACCACTCAATTACTCTGGTTTTCTACTCATTAAATCATCCCTTTGATCTAAGTTACCACTGATCCTGAAAAGCTATTTGGATGATCAGCAACTTTATCAGGTAAACAAACTRGGTAATCTGTCAAATTGTATCTTGTTAAAGTTTACTTTATGGTAATGCAGTGAAATAACATTTTTGCTTYAAATGTAGCCCCTGTCTTTATGTCTATGTATAAAAGCCTACGGCCACTAATGTTTCCTTTTATTCAATAGACTCACTGGGGAATGGGATTTGGAGCACACTGCAATTTAACCTTAAACATTCGTCTTCAGTGACATGACCAGTGCCAGTCCTACACCGTGGCACCACTTAGTATGAAAACACACATCCAAGCAGAACTTTTGACCAAAATGGCTCTCTAATCTGGCCCTCACAATGTGAGTCAAGTACGATATACAGTGGAAATTAGAAACATAAATCACAAGTTTGCTCTCGGAGAGAATGAAAATCAGATTTAAACAACAAAAAGCATTCCAAAATAGGTATAAATATATGTTTGCCTTGACAACAAAACATAAGCACTGACTCACTCAGGTGTAACCAAAAAACAGCAGAATTTAGTTGGGTCAAGGTGAAATGTAAAGCCGTGCGCAGATTCACCTGTAACTAACCTCTAACAGTGCAAAATGTATCAAATGGATACAGTTTTGGCAGCCATAATAAAAAAGTTGTTTTTAACATGATCTTTGACATTAAGCATTTAAAGAAAATAAATTACTTTACTACAAACATTTAAAATATTTAACGTGCAAGTGATGTCAAATTTTTGTAATACATAT